CCACCTCATGATGAGCGTAAATCAGATGACGCTCTAACCCACAGGACCACCAAATCCTGATTCGGTGGTCCTGTGAGTTAGAGCGTCAGGTGTTTTTCGCTCACCATGAGGCGGGAAAAAACGACATGGGTTCGAGTCTTGGCTAGTCGCAGTGCTGTTATTGATTAAATACCACTCGTTCGTGGGTTACAATAATTTATATATATATATATATATATATATATATATATATATATATATTATATATATATATATATATATATATATATATATATATATATATATATATATATATATATATATATAAATATAATATATATATATATATATATATAATATATATATATATATGTATATATATATATATATATATATTATATATATATATATATTTATATATATATATATATATATATATATATTATATATATATATATATTTATATATATATATATATACATCCGCAGAGACGGAGGTGGTTGGTCAGAAGTGCTCCCCGGGTACCTACTTCCAGAGAGACAGGTGTAACTGGTGCAGGTGTGAAGCAGGTGTTGTCTCCTGTACACAGATTAAGTGTATTTCTGACACCTCATCCATAACAGTGCCAGCATCAGTGTCACCACCACCAGCTGTGCCAGTAACACCACCAGTGTCACCACCACCTGTATCACCACCACCTGTGTCACCATCACCTGTAACACCACCACCACCAACAACTGTAGCACCAATGCTACCAGTATCACCAGCTGTAGCACCATTTCTAACACCGCCAACTGAAGCACCAACACTACCACCAGCAAGTGTAGCACCATCACTACCACCACCACCACTCACTGTAGCACCATCACTACCACCACCACCACTCACTGTAGCACCATCACTACCACCACCACCACTCACTGTAGCACCATCACTACCACCACCACTCACTGTAGCACCATCACTACCACCACCACCACTCACTGTAGCACCATCACTTCCACCACCACCAATCACTGTAGCACCATCACTACCACCACCACCATCACTGTAGCACCATCACTACCACCACCACCACTCACTGTAGCACCATCACTACACCCCCACCACTCACTGTAGCACCATCACTACCACCCACCACTCACTGCAGCACCATCATCTACCACCACACCACTCACTGTAGCACCATCACTTCACCACCACACTCACTGTAGCACCATCACTACCACCACCACTCACTGTAGCCCCATCACTACCACCACTACTCACTGTAGCACCATCACTACCCCCAAACCACACTCACTGTAGCACCATCACTACACCACCACCACTCACTGTAGCACCATCACTACCACCACCAATCACTGTAGCACCATCACTTCCACCACCACCACTCACTGTAGCACCACCACCACTCACTGTAGCACCATCACTACCTACCACCACCACTCACTGTAGCACCATCACTACCACCACCACCACTCACTGTAGCACCATCACTCCCACCACCAATCACTGTGCACCATCACTTCCACCACCCCCACTCACTGTAGCACCACCACCACTCACTGTAGCACCATCACTACCACCACCACCACTCACTGTAGCACCATCACTACCACCACCACTCACTGTAGCACCATCACTACCACCACCACCACTCACTGTAGCACCATCACTACCACCACCACCACTCACTGTAGCACCATCACTACCACCACCACCACTCACTGTAGCACCATCACTACCACCACCACTCACTGTAGCACCATCACTACCACCACCACCACCACTCACTGTAGCACCATCACTACCACCACCACCACTCACTGTAGCACCATCACTACAACCACTCACTGTAGCACCATCACTACCACCACCACTCACTGTAGCACCATCACTACAACCACTCACTGTAGCACCATCACTACCACCACCACTCACTGTAGCACCATCACTACCACCACCACCACTCACTGTAGCACCATCACTACCACCACCACCACTCACTGTAGCACCATCACTACCACCACCAATCACTGTAGCACCATCACTTCCACCACCACCACTCACTGTAGCACCATCAGTACCACCACAACCACGCACTGTAGCACCATCATTGCCACCATCACCACCCACTGTAGCACCATCAGTACCACCACCACAACTCACTGTAGCACCATCAGTACCACCATCCACTGTAGCACCATCAGTACCACCACAACCACGCACTGTAGCACCATCATTGCCACCATCACCACCCACTGTAGCACCATCACTACCACCACCACCACTCACTGTAGCACCATCACTACCACTACCACCACCCACTGTAGTACCATCAGTACCACCACAACCACCACCCACTCTAGCCCCATCACTACCACCACCCACTGCAGCACCATCACTACTACCACTAGCACCCACTGTAGCACCATCAGTACCACCACCACCACCACCCACTGTAGCACCATCATTACCACCACCACAACCCACTGTAGCACCAGCAGTGCCACCACCACCACCACCACCCACTGTAGCACCATCAGTACCACCACCACCACCACCAGCACCACCACCCACTGTAGCACCATCACTACCACCACCACCACCAACTACTGTAACACCATCATTACCACCAACACCACCACCACCCACTGTAGCACCATCACTACCATCGTCCACTGTAGCACCATCAGTATCACCTCCGCCACCCACTGTAGCACCATCAGTACCACCACCACCACCCACTGTAGCACCATCATTACCACCACCACCACCCACTGTAGCACCATCACTACCACCATCCACTATAGCACCATCACTACCACCACCACCACCACCCACTGTATCACCATCACTACCACCCCCACTGTAGCCCATCGCTAACACCACCAACTGTAGCACCATCTCTACCACCACCACCACCCACTGTAGCACCATCACCACCACCACCACCCTCTGTAGCACCATCACCACCACCACCCACTGTAGCATCATCACTACCACCACCACCACGCACTGTAGCACCATCACCACCACCACCCACTGTAGCATCATCACTACCACCACCACCACGCACTGTAGCACCATCACTACCACCACCCACTGTAGCATTATCACTACCACCACCCACTGTAGCACCATCACTACCACCACCCACTGTAGCACCAACACTACCACCACCACCCACTGTAGCACCATCACTTCCACCACCCACAGTAGCACCATCACTACCACCACCCTCTGTAACACCATCACTACCACCATCTACTGTAGCCCCATCACTACCACCACAAACACTCACTGTAGCACCATCACTACCACCACCCATTGTAGCATCATCGCAACCACCACCACCACCACCCACTGTAGCACCATCGCTACCACCGCCACTACCCACTGTAGCACCATCATCACCACCACTACCACCACCACCCACTGTAGCGCAATCACTACCACCACCACCACCCACTGTAGCACCATCACTACCACCACCCACTGTAGCACCATCACTACCACCACCCACTGTAGCACAATCATTACCACCATCACCACCCACTATAGCACCATCACTAATACCACCCATTGTAGCATCATCACTACCACCACCACCACCACCCACTGTAGCACCATCACTACACCATCACCACCACCCACTGTAGCACCATCACCACCACCACCACCCACTGTAGCACCATCACTACCACCATCACCACCACCCACTGTAGCACCATCACCACCACCACCACCCACTGTAGCACCATCACTACCACCACCCACTGTAGCACCATCACTACCACCTACCACAGTAGTACTATCAGTACCACCACCCACTGTAGCACAATCACTACCACCGCCACCACCACCCACTATAGCACCATCGCTACCACCACCCACTGTTGCACCATCACTACAATCACCACCACCCACTGTAGCATCACCGCTACCATCACCACGACCCACAGTTGCATCATCACTACCACCACCCACTGTAGCACCATCATTACCACCGCCACCACCCACTGTAGCACCAACACTACCACCACCACCACCACCACCACCATCTGTAGCACCATCACCATCACAACCCACTGTAGCACCATCACTACCGCTACCACCATCCACTGTAGCACCATTACTACTACTACCCACTATAGCACCATCACTACCACCACCACCACCACCACCACCACCCACTGTACCAACATCAGTACCACCACCATCCACTCTAGCACCATCGCTACCACAACCCACTGTAGCACCATCACTACCAGCACCCTCTGTAACACCATCACTACCACCACCACCATCACAACTACCACTGTTACAACCAACACAACCACCACTACTACGAGCATGTCACGTTGTTATTACAGAAGTAACTGGTGTCCAGTGCTCAGAACTACCACTACGACCACCACAACTTCAACTACTATCACCACAAGTACCACTACTATCAGCACAACTACCACTACTATCACCAGAACTTTCACTACTACCACCAGAGCTTCCACTACTACCACCAGAACTACCACTACTACCACCACAACTACTAGCAGAATCATTACAAGAACTACCACCACCTATTAGAGAACCGCCTGTCATATCACCACCATCACCACCACCACCACAAACATCTACACCACCACAACCACCACTACTACCACTATCAGCAACACTAGCACCACCGCAGCTACCACCATCAGCAGTCTCGCCACTACCACAACTACCACCATTAATACCAACGAATCCTACGTTAATAGGTGGGCAAATATTTGCGGTAATAATTGTTGTAGTAGTTGTAGCTGAATAGTGGTTGTAGTAGTAGTAGTAGTAGTAGTATACTAGCAGCAGTAGAAGTAGTAGTAGCATTAGTAGTACTCGTAACAATAGCTCTAACAGTAGTAGTATTATTATTACCAGTAACAGTAATTCGTTAACGTGTTCTTCTCACCGTGTTCACTAATTTGTTCTTACCGTGTTCTGACTCCCCGTGTTCATCACTGTTCTTCTGGCAGAATGCTTCTTCAACGGTGTGGTCTGGAGTTCCAGGAACGACTGTAACTGGTGTGGCTGTCAGAACGGTGTCTTCCAGTGCTCCCAGTTGACCTGTCAAGGTAGCCTTCTGTTCCAGATTTATCCTAATCTAATCTAACCTAACCTAACCTAACCTAACCTAACCTAACCTAAGCTAACCTGCCCTAACCTAACCTAGATGGGTTTCGGAGTGAGTTTGAGATGGATTTAGCTAGTAAGGAGGAAATGGTCACCAGCAGTGAGAGTGACAGCCACTTTAAGTGGCAAGTGGTTCACAGTTCAGGAAGAAGAAAGATAAGGAGGGTTAACAGAGAAGATGTGAAGGTAGGAAATCGATTCTCTGTTTTCCAGGACGAGTGCACTTCAGTGGTTAGTGAGGTTGAATGTACCACTGATTCCCCTGGTAATCAAGGTAAGAATATTTTATTAGTAAAAGATTCTCAGGTAAGATATATGGACCGTGCTTTTTGTAACAGAGATAGAAAGGTCAGACAGAGGGTGGGCCTCCCAGGAGCTCGTGTTGGTGACATACTCAGCAGGTTGGATAATATTATGTCAGATAACAGGAACAAGCCCATTATCTATCTTAGTGCTGGTGGTAATGACACTGGAAAGGGCAGGAGACAGGAGCTGCTGGATAAGTACAGGTCAGCCATAGAAGTAGTCAGGTCTAAGGGAGGGATCCCAGTCATATGTAGCATCTTGCCTAGAAAGGGAGTGGGCAATGAGTCGATAATCTAGGGCACTTGGTATAAATTGCTGGCTAGAAAGGTACTGCAAGAAACTTGCAATCCCATTCATTGATAACTGGGACATATTCTATGGCAAACATGATATGTATGCAAGGGATGGGGTTCATCTCTCTGGGGTTGGAGTGGTTGCATTAGCCAATTCGACTGAGAGGGTTATTGGTGACTTGTCTAGGACTTTAAACTGATGTATTATAGAGGTATGGGTGTTTGTGGGAAACAATCAGGCTGCAGCATTATTGTTGGAAACAGCAGATATTACCGGGATACCTCAGGGATATGCTTAAAAGACAATATTCAGAATAAAGTTGCTAGTAATGGCAAATCAATTGATCAACAAACAAAGAGAGACAGTAGAGGGCAACGAGTGACTAGCTCCCTTAAGGTTTACTATACAAATATTAGGAGTCTAAGAAATAAGATAGATGAGCTAAGATTATTTGCAGGTACAGGTATTATACATATTATTGGTATAACAGAGACCTGATTCAACCTGAAAGATAGAGAAATGCCTTCTGAAAACAGCATACAGAGCTATAAACTATTCCACACTGATAGGGTCAATAGAAAGAGTGGTGGAGTGGCGATGTATGTCACAGACAATTTAAATTGTTGTCTTAGACATGATACAAGATTAGAAACATCGGACACAGAATCTGTTTGGCTACAGTTTCTCGAGGGTCGTGACAAATTAATTTTGGGTGTGATTTATAGGCCCCCAAACCTTGATAGGGATTGCACTAAGCTGTTATGGGATGAAATTCGTAAGGCATCTAGATATAAAAATGTTGTGTTAATGGGAGATTTTAACTTTAGACAAATTGTTTGGAACAATGTAACAGGAAATCTTGAGTCTAGTGACTTTCTTGATACGGTTCAGGATTGCTTTTTAGAACAGTTTGTGACAGAACCAACTAGAGGAAACAATCTGCTTGACTTGGTTCTTGCCAACAAAGAATCACTAATTAATAATCTTGAGGTTAATGATGAGCTTGGGGAAAGTGATCACAAATCACTTAGTTTCAATATATCATGGAATTACCCAAATAACTATAATCAAATCTCTGTCCCAGACTCTTGCTTGGCCGACTTCATGGGACTGAGAAATTACCTGGGTGGGCTAAATTGGGATGTCCTGACTGAGGGTCAGGTAGGTGATCTTGGTTGCCAATATGACGTTTTTCAGAGCATAGTTCTAGCTGCCCAGACAACTTTTGTTCTGAGTAGGAAAATTAGATCTAACAAAAATGATCCCAAATGGATGAACAATAGATTAAAACATCTCACTGGTCAAAAGAGAGGCGTATATAGGCGTATCAAAGGAGGGGATGGGCAGTTAAGAAATCAATATATTCAATTAAAGAGAGAAATAAAAAAAAAGGAATAAGAAAAGCAAAGAGGGATTATGAGGCTAAAGTCACAAAGGATTCAAAGACTAACTCGAAAGGGTTCTTTAAGGGATACAGAAGTAAGATTAGGGACAAGACTGGCCCACTTAAGAGTAACTCTGGTCAGATCACTGACAGTGATAAGGATATGTGTGAAATTTTCAGTACTTACTTCCTCTCAGTTTTTACCTGGGAAAATACTAGCGAAATTCCAGAAATAATAGATTATGTAGAGCAGGACGATAATAAACTATGCACGATTGTGGTAACTAGTGACATAGTCCTAGGACAAATAGAGAAACTAAAACCTAACAAATCCCCAGGTCCTGATGAGCTGTTTGCAAGGGTGTTAAAGGAATGTAAAAAGGAACTTAGCATACCTTTGGCTAATCTTTTTAACATATCACTACAAACTGTCATAGTGCCTGATAAGTGGAAAATGGCAAATCTAATACCTATTTACAAGGCAGGTGACAGGTCCTTAGCTTCCAACTATAGACCAATAAGCCTTACCTCCATAGTGGGAAGATTTATGGAATCAATAATTGCCGAAGCAATTCGTAGCCATCTAGACAGGCACAGATTGATTAATGATTCTCAACACGGTTTTACAAAGGGGCGTTCCTGTCTTACGAATTTACTAACTTTTTTCACTAAGGTATTTGAGGAGGTAGATCATGGTAATGAATATGATATTGTGTATATGGACTTCAGTAAGGCTTTCGATAGAGTTCCACACCAGAGGCTATTGAGGAAACTTAAGGCACACGGAATAGGAGGAGAATTTTTTTCCTGGGTAGAGGCATGGCTGACAAATAGGCAGCAGAGAGTTCGCATAAATGGGGAGAAATCAGAATGGGGGCACGTCACAAGCGGTGCACCTCAGGGGTCAGTGTTGGGTCCGTTGTTGTTCACAATTTACATAAACGACATAGATGAGGGAATAAATAGCGACATAAGCAAATTTGCTGATGACACCAAAATAGGCCGTCCAATTCATTGTAATGAGGACACTAGAGCACTCCAGGATGATTTGAATTGACTGATGCAATGGTCGGAGAAGTGGCAGATGCAGTTTAATATTGACAAATGCAAAGTTCTAAATGTTGGACAAGAAAATAACCATGACACATGTAAACTAAATAATGTAGATCTTAATACTACTGATTGCGAAAAAGATTTAGGAGTTCTGGTTAGCAGTAATCTAAAACCAAGACAACAGTGCATTAGTGTTGGCAATAAAGCTAACAGAATTCTTGGCTTCATATCTAGAAGTATAAATAATAGAAGTCCTCAGGTTGTTCTTCAACTCTATATATCCTTGGTTAGGCCTAAAACAGGAGTCGTGAGGTTAGTCCTCATTTAGACTATGCTGCTCAGTTCTGGTCACCGTATTACAGAATGGATATAAATAATCTGAGAAACGTACAAAGGAGGATGACAAAGTTGATCCAATGTATCAGAAATCTTCCCTATGATGATAGACTGAGGCCCTGAACCTGCACTCTCTCGAAAGACGTAGAATTAGGGGGGATATGATCGAGGTGTATAAATGGAGAACAGGAATAAATAAAAGGGATGTAAATAGAGTGCCAAGACAATGGTTTCAAGTTGGAAAAATTCAGATTCAGTAAGGATATAGGAAAGTACTGGTTTGGTAATAGAGTTGTGAACGAGTGGAACAAACTCCCGAGTACAGTTATTGAGGCTAAAACGTTGTGTAGCTTTAAAAATAGTTTAGATAAATACATGAGTGGGTGAGGGTGGGTGTGAGTTGGACCTGACTAGCTTGTGCTGCTGGGTCTGGTGCAGTGTTCCATCCTCGAGTGGAAGTGACCTGAATAGGGGGGCATTGGGCTAATTTGGGGACACATGGACCTGCTTCGCATGGGTCAGTAGGCCTGTTGCAGTGTTCCTTCTTTCATATGTTCTTATGTAACCTAACTTAACCTAACCTAACTAACTTAACCTGCCCTAACCTAACCTAACCTAACCTAACATAACCTAACTAACTTAACCTGCCCTAACCTAACCTAACCTAACCTAACCTAACCTAACCTAACCTAACCTAACCTAACCTAACCTAACCTAACCTAACCTAACCTAAACTAACCTAACCTAACCTAACTAACTTAACCTGTCCTAACCTAACCTAACCTAACCTAACCTAACCTAACCTAAACTAACCTAACCTAACTAACTTAACCTGCCCTAACCTAACCTAACCTAACCTAACCTAAACTAACCTAACCTAACTAACTTAACCTGCCCTAACCTAACCTAACCTAACCTAACCTACCTAACCTAACCTAACCTAACATAACTTAACCTAACCTAACCTAACCTATCCTCACCTAACCTAACCTAACCTAACCTAACATAACATAACCTAACATAACCTAAACTATCGTAACCTAACCTAACTTAACCTAACCTAACCTAACCTAACCTAACTTAACCTATCCTAACCTAACCTAACCTAACCTAACCTAACCTACCTAACCTAACCTAACCTAACCTAACCTAACCTAACCTAACCTAACCTAACCTAACCTAACCTAACCTACCTAACCTAACCTAACCTAACCTAACCTAACCTAACCTAACCTAACCTACTAACCTAACCTAACCTAACCTACCTAACCTAACCTAACCTAACCCAACCTAACCTAACCTAACCTAACCTAACCTAACCAAACCTAAACTAACCTAACCTAACCTAACCTAACCTAACTTAACCTATCCTAACCTAACCTAACCTAACCTAACCTAACCTAACCTAACCTAACCTAACCTACGTAGGAGAGGCTGATTAAATATTTATATCGACAAGGAGAATAAGTGTACAGGTGTACGTGTATGTATACACTGTCTCACTGTATACACTGCTGCCATCGTTATATACACTGCTGCAATCACTGTATGCACTGCTGCAATCACTGT